GCTCTGTCTCTCCCTTCGAGCCCTGCCGGGTGTCTCTGGGAGCGGCTTGGCACCGGCAAAATCAACTCCCATCCCGGGAAACGGAGGGAAAAAAAAAAAAAAAAAAAAAAAAAAAAAAGGAAAAAAAGTGCTGGTGTCTGGAAAAGTAATAATAATAATTGAAAAAAAGTTTTGAAGTGTCAGACTGTGAATTGAAGAGTTTCAGCCGGGGTAGGGCGGTGCCTTATGGCAGGTGAGCGCTGCGCGGGGAGCTCCTCACCCGCCTCGGGGCAGGGAGGGAGAATCGCGACAATCGCAGACAGTTTGGGGACATTCATGCTCTTTAAGAGCCCAAGGGTGACCTGTGTGCCGGCCTGGCACCCCTGTGCACGACACGAGGCACGCAGGGAGGGCTGCAGGCAGGAATCACAGCACGGAGCTCCTGCATCCCTCCCGAAGGATGCTCCCCTCCCGCCGGCCGGGTGATGTCAGCTCGCTATTTCCCCTTGGCTCATGGCTCTCGTTTCGGGTTTATATTTATTTTCGAAGTGTTGAAGCCCCAGTAACACGAAGGGTTTTCTCGGAAGGAAAAACAAACCCCAACGAAATCCCAGAGCAATCTTCACCGCGAAGCAGAGCTGCCTGTTTCTGGAAATGATGCTTGCAGAAAGGGTGAAAGTCATGAGCCTCTAACCAAAAAATGTAACAAACCCCGGCCAGTATCACAAGGGCAAACTTCCCATGGGCCTCAGGGCTTGCTGTTATCCTTGCTTACACTGATAAGTCCTTTTTCTAAATCCTCCAAAGTTGCTTGCTCTTCCCTTTCATGTATAAAGTTACCAAAATCTGACAGATAAGACAGATTTACTGTTTCTGGATAAGACTTATGGCCACACATAAGAGACCACACTGCAAAAGATCAGTTAAAATGTGTTGCTGCTTCAATGAAAGACTGTTGAAAAAAACCCTATTTTTACTTTAAACGATAGCATGGGGAAAATAATAATATAGTAAAAGGGGAAAGGAGGCAGCTCCCAGAAGAATAAAGACATTTTCTGCTCTGCTATCACTCGTGTTTTCACCTGTAGGTGCGCTTTCCAGGGCAGGCAGTGTGGCTCAGCGAACTGCTTTTCTTCTCCTTTTCTTCTGCTTTATTTCAAAATGCAGCTGACACCTTCACAGGTACATGACATTATCGGCACTCACGCTCGGGGAAAGGGCTGGGGAATGTGGTGGAAGGATGTGTCAAGGATGAGGCAGGAAAGTGCAAATTTAGAAAATCTTGGAAGTTTTTCTCCAAGCCGTCTGAAAAGACAAATTAGCGGGGATTCCTCGGATTATAACATACACATTTTGAACTCTTTTTGGAGACCTTTATCATTTAAGGAATGGTGACCAATTTCCTAAGGGTGAACAATTTGTTTCTTTCCCTTCAGGGACAAGTTTTTGCCTACATTTGGTGTTTTGTAGCACTGGGGGAAGAGAGCCCAAACCAAACTTCCTCACCTCACTGCTAAATCTCAGCCTTCCTTTGGTTATCCAAAACTGTTCGAATCTGAGCCAGCGAGTCCCATAAGTTTGACAAAGCTGAGTAGAGAAATAACCCACCCAAGAGTGTATTAGCACTCGGGGAGACAAATCACAGCACAGTGGATAAAATAAAAATTAAATAAAATAAAGTACGGGCTCTTGCTGAGGTTTATTTTTGATTTACCTGTTTAACACTTAAAAAAATAATTATGGTAGCAAAAGAATCGAAGGGATGAGCAACAGCTTTAAAGGCAAATAGGAGAGGAGGATGGGGGATCCAAGGAAGGGCGAAGGAAGGCAGGAGTCTGGAAACCAAGGGTTGCTGTGTTCAGTCCCTGAGCCATGGGCGAGCAGGAATTGCCAAAGGCTGAGGGGGCATCGCCCTTCCCTGGGTCCCCCCAGCCCTCGGATAATAAACTCAAGTGTCTGCCTGTCTCAGCCCTGCCCATCTTCTTTAGCCAACTTGACAAAGTGGAAGAAATATGACATGTGAATTATTAAAGAGGAGGCAGTTGACTCCTAACCTCTGTTGCTTTTTCTCAGAACCCATTACCTGAGAATTTATCTTGCAGGAATTACAGTGT